TGTGGTTAGACCAATGCATGTGAAGTCAGATGACGAGAGGAAGACCACCATAAGAACGTCTAGGACAAAACTGGACAGGAATGGGAAGAGTGGGCACCCTTGATGGACACCACTCGATGTACACAGCTCATCTGACAACTCACCATAAGATCTAACATGCCAACAGGTGTTTGAGTAAAGAGACTTCAACAGTGATGTACTACTTTACTCGGGACCCCTTTCAGTGAGAGGCACTACCATAAGACCTGTCGGTCGACGGCGTCAAACGCCGCCATCAGGTTGAGAAATGCAGCTAGTATCGGGCATCGGTTAGTGTGCCTGTGTTCCAGGGCCTGGCGGAGTGCTAATACCTGGTTGGTACACCCACGGTGAGGTCTGAAGCCTGCCTGGTTTTCTCGAGCTCCAATCAGACATCTAGTGATAGCAGAACCTAGCAACGTAGACTCAGCATTCATCAGCTTGATTCCTCTGTGGTTATCGTAGCAAGACTTTTCGCCTTTCTTGAACACTAAGAATATCGGTGTTTAAGACCACACACTAGTTAAAACTTCAGTTAACTTCACTAAAACTCCACTACCACCGGCTTTAAATACCTCTGGAACGGTTGCAAAGCAGTTTTCAAATTCACGATTCGTCTGTTGAGTATCAGAAGTAAATTTTCAAAAAAATGTTTAAAAGAACACATGACCAAGATATATAACGATTTCTTCGTAAAAACTACTTTGACAAAAAATTCGAACACAGGCAACCTGAAGTCAAAGAGATGTCCAGGTGAAAAATATTTGTACACTACCGAAAACAATCGTGGCAGCAACGAGTTATATCATTTTTGAGTGAAAAAATTTGGTTCTAAAAGCATTAGTAATTTTCCAATCAATGCATTAGGGATTGATGATCTTTATGTGTATGTAAGAGCAAAACTTGAGCACTGTGGTGGAGCGTAATTCCATACTAAACATGAAATATGAGCCATAAATTCTGTTGGAGACGTTTCCGATGATGGAAACGTTATTCAACAAGTAATATTGTATCACTGTGCGCTGTCACATGAACAATCTAATATCATATAATTTCGATAATTAATATGATACGGAATCACGAGTTAAATACAACTTGATATTGAACGCATGAACATTGACTGAAATGTTAATCGCCATGTAATTAATGCATTTTGAACTCGATTACTAGTAATTAAGTGAGTTCGAAGAGAAACAGGAAGAAACTGAATAAGTTTCAAGTTTCAGGATAAAACATACAGATAAACGGAAGGAGTAGTAATACAATCACCAATATCCCTAATCGTAGCAGGTATATTTATGAATAGTTGGAAAATATGGCTTTAGAAACGTTTAGTCTTACACCCGATATGGTGACGATATCTAGATGGTGCATTTACTATGTTGGAATCAAAACATATAGACAGTTTCTTCACACACACACACAAAAGCATCGTAGATGTAATCCAGTTCACTTATAAGGTAGAAAATGAACAAGAATTAACTACAGTGGATTGCATAATAAAACAAATAACAGATGGTGGTTTAGACACTACATTCTAACAGGTATTCAGATCACTTCATCCATTATCTGTTAATGTCGGTTTCCTCAAATTTCTAGATAATAGAGTCAGAAAAATAGATAGTCAGTGCAAGGATTTAAATGGGAAATTGAAACACATGAAAGAAACTCCACTAATCAGTAATTATCTTGTAAAGAAAGTCGTAAGAACACATAAGAAACAAAGTAGCAATAGTGTAGTGCGCGTTGCTGATAAGAATGGATATAAGTTAGTATATGTTGACAGGGCGGCAGAAATCATAGGGAATTACCAGGAATGGGTAAGAATTCTGCCCAGAGAAATGCAAGAGACAATGAGGGCGTATTAAGAGTAAATCAATAGAGAGGCAGAAAAGGAAGCACATTATGCAAATGACTGTCTTAGTGCAAGGTGTACCCATATTTAACGACTACTTTACCATATGTTAATAACAAACATTACTTCCTTCGTCTCTGTCTTCTTGTTTCTTTCAATAGTGATGTAAATATAGAAATAATAATTTTGTTAGTTTGACTATCTGAGATAGCTCCAGTTTGGTAGACTTTTATTTTTGATACTGGGTGATGATTGAAAGTGAAATAAAAATCTGGGGAGCGGGAAAGTTCAAATCAGTGACCAAGGGGTTTCAGGCACAGTGCTCAACCAACTGAGCTACGATACCCAACTGATGACCAGATTTTTATTTCACTTTATTCATCAGCCCGTATCGGCACAAGTCTACCAAACCACGGTAATCTCAGATAGTCAAACTGATAATCTATAAGATGCTCACCCTCTCTAATTCAAGCAGATTGGGATTGGAATGAAAAGCCTTGATTGAGCAAGCAGTGTGAGGACGATCGAGAGATAGTAACGCGTCACGAATTCACATGGTAGTCAGGAAAGCCCTTGTTGATTGAAGTGAAATGAAAATCTGGTCGGCAGTCGGGTCTCGTAGCTCAGTTGGTAGAGCACCAGGGTGGGAACCCGGTGGTCACTGGTTCGAATCCTTTTGCAGCCTAAATTTCCATCTGACCTTCAATCATCAGCCAGTATCAATGATTAATAATGACAACGCAAGTAGATAGGAATTCAAGGCCCCTAGTATACTTCGATATAACGGATGAATATCAGGAACTTTATGCAGAATTCCCAACCAATCTGGAATCATGGTGGTATTTAAACTCACAAACTCACTCAGAGATAAGCTTCGTCGACTTAGGGATCCAGTAGACCCAACTCCACAAAATACCATGCAATGACTGTTAAGTCAAGTCCAGAGGTTAAACTATCTAATCAGGGTCTAGAGAAAAATTCGGTTATTTTAATGAATGCCGAATGAGATAAAAACCAATGTATTCAAGTCCAATATAGTTAGGTGGAGAGAGACAGAGAGAGACTGATTACCGAGTCTTTGTTTATCGAGTCAACATCTAACATATATAATAGGAGTGACGCAACGCCTATACGGAAGGTGTGGAAATGTTTGCTAACACAAAAACAAAGAATATGAAAGTATAGGACTACAACAATCAGATGTCGAAAGCTGTAGGATTACTTAGATATGATTATGAAGAGTAATACTGTATCACTGTGTGCTGTATATCAAATAAACAAATCTAATATAGAATGTCCTCGAGTACTTGGTGATAATTTCTGTCGATTATATGACAGCTGATCATATTAACCGACTATTCTAACCAACGAAAATTAATAGAGTCCATTTTGAACCAAGACAGACAGATAGAATCAGCATAGATCCTCGCAAACAAGTGCGTCAGTTCAAGTTTCCACATACTTCACAGCAGCATACAAAGCACAGATGAATAGAAAAATAGTTCTATCAAAGTAGACAAAGTTATTTGAGAGAATAAACAAACTTAAGTGCGAATATTCAAGCTATATAGAGCATTAACAAGTGAATACACTTGCACCACTGTAACCGATTTTCAGCCATGTCACCAATAACCTTCAACCACCAATCCGTATCGTGTCTGGGACCACAGTTAGGTAGTCCACATATCCTAACATGGCTTACACCAACCATTAGGGACTTTACGGACTGATGCCACCTCTTGGTATGACCACACATCAATTTAAACCCATCGCTTTGTGGTTGAAAGTCAATTATCACTTTCACCAGTGTAATAACCTATAGAATACTTCTTTCTTTCCCTACACTTTAGAAGAAAAATAAACGAACAATGAAGTATTCTTCATAACAATAGAAAAGATCAACAGTGGCTGTAAAAAATGGATTCTTCGAATGATTTGATAACAACACACACTGTGGCAGGTATACATGAAGTTTCACACAAAAGTTACATCTTTGTATTCATGATTGTTGGTCTGATAACATTGATCCCCTTGATTATGATCAGTATAGCCGTATTGATGAAAAGTAGAATGTCTAAACTATGTCGTTTATTATTAGTTTGTGCTTGTCTATCACTTGGATCCATTGTTAGTGCATTAGCTTTCATTCATTATATACTCGGACCGATAGATATGATTTTAGCTAAAGGTGATCAAATACTTATCGGTGAACCATCTAACACTTTTCTAATGAATATACATGAATTACGTTCAATCACATGTAATCATTTAGAGATACAATCAAATAAATTAAGAGTTCGTGTTTGGGCAACAACGATTTCACCACATTATGAAGCACAACAAAATTATAGTCTAGTTCTACGTAACTGGAGTTTACCGACATTTTCTAGTCTACGACTTAATGCAGGTGATCATATACATATGCATAACTTTTCAAAACCAGTACAAATAATTATGCTTAAAGGTCAAGAATCATTTAACAAATGGAGTCAAACTGGATCATATAAACAAGGTTATGAAAAGTGTTGTTCATGGTACATTTTGCAAACAAATTTAGATGATAGACAAGATATTACAATTGAACAGAATGATATATATACATTAATACTAAGAATTATTACATCTTCATCAACAAGTGATATTGTAGAGAAATTAGAAATTGAATCAACACCAATAATAACCGGATACATGGATCTCTTTCGTACACGTTGGTCACCTAATCCTTGTGATCCAGTGATATGCGATGGTAGAACAACAACTCTATGCAAAGTGACATCATCTCCTAAAAGTTATATTATTGATTATACAGTAGAGACAATGACAGCACCAAATTATGACTATGCAAGTATACGTATTGTATGCTATCCACGTCATTGGGCATTGGGAATTATGTTTAGTCTACCAACTATGCTAATTATAAGTCTTATTATTGTGATAAATGCATGTATTAAGAGGCAAAAGAAACAATTGAAATTCTCTGATACAAGTATACAAAGAACACCATTTAAAGATTTAAATGTTGAACAAATTAAAGGAAAATATACTGCTTCAAATGAAAATTATAATCCTGCATTTGAATTTGATCTTGTATGAGTAAAATGTAAATAAAGTGTGTTTGTTGACTTACTTCAACTGGATTTGTTCTACAGGTTGCTGTTCCTGTTGTCTTTGTTAATGACAACGACGCTTTCAAACTTCTATTACCATGATGTAATGCTTCGATTACTGTTAGTTGTAGATCTTCAGCATATCGCATTAACTTTTCATCTAGAAGATCACACAATTTTGATCCAAAACCTTCTAAAATTTTGCATTCTTTTCCACTTTGTAATAATAATGGATACTTTTTCAGGGAAGAAAGAGCCTGTAAAATAGGATATCATATGTTTGGTGTCAAGATTATCTAACCTTTCTGTAAGCATAGTATGACTTAGCATCTTTTGCGAATGCATTTTCCATAGCTTCTTTTATCCAGTTTTGAAATAAAAGATTTGGTCCATCACCTGGTTTCTTCTTTTTCTGACTATGATTAAAAAAATAAGTGAAATTAATTTAAGTAAACTGTTCTACACGTCAACACATTGCACTCCACTTCGATTTATTTAATTTAACTACTTAGGAGTAGTGCAATTTTAAACGTAGAAATATACATGTCGTTAGGATAGATGGGTACAACAACACAAGAGTAGATGCGATAATGCACCTCAAAACAACTCAATTGTATGCATTTACAGAGAGGGATTTCATACAAAGCAATGACAATGGGATTCATAACTTTTGGAAGCTTTACGTGTATTTTAAGCAAGATTTGCAAGCATTACAATATGCGAAAAAACATTTCAGTGAATATTGAAATGATGAATAAGAATTAAGCGATTCTCCTCTTAAAAAACACACATAACTGCAATTACTTTTTACGGATAATACCTGAGAGGTATTTGAGAATAGTGATCTTGGAAACAGTAATTATACATAGTTTGTATAATTCGGTAGCAACAAATGGTTGTTGTCCAACTAATGACATCTCTACAGAACATATAGAATTTTGCAATGAATTGGCTTACGACAAAGTATAGTTACTGTAATATACACAGGCACAATATCATTTCCATTATATCCAATGGTAATGAAGCTGCGGTTCTGTAAACTGGATAATCAACTTTCGACCACTGGATTATAAGTTCGAAACCCGATCCACTTACAGAGATCCAAAGTAGTTAGGTAGATTTACGGTCCTTGCGTACGAAAGTTCAATTCACTTTACACACCCAATCTTTCTGAGGACAAGTGAACAGAATAACTCAAGAGAAAACTTCTACTATAGTTCTTTTATTATATTTTAAAGTGGTATTCATCACTGACCGACATCTATTGGAGAACCACCCTTGGTGGGGTAGTAGGTGCGCATACAGTAACCAAACAACTGTCTAGTGCTCCCAGTTTTTTGGTAGTTCCCTGACTGGTGCCAACAGTTCATGATGAGTACCATATTGAAACCAATAAATCCACACAAACTTGCAAACTGAAACTTTTATTATGTTTCACACAGTGAAACGATCTTAGTTACTGGATAATGCTTTCGGCAGAATTTATTGCTCATAATCATATCAAAGTAATAATACAACTTTCTGGTTTAACTCTATAGTTCTAAACTTCAGTCAGCCATCTTAGTTAAAATAACGTAGCATTTTGTTGTCATATTAATCGGAAACTTCTTAGCATTTGTTTACAAAACATTTATAGACATTTTAGATAGATTATAATGTCATCATCATCAACATAGAACCAGGCGTTACTGCGTAACGGTCCGAGTTGTCACATCTCATCTCATATCAGTACACCCAGTTAAAAGCAGTGAAGTGAAAGACGAAGAAAAGAAAATCCAGTCTAAAGATATATAAAGTACTAAACGAAAGAAAGAAAAAATGAGAAGATGGTGGGATTCGGTATAGCGTCGTTAAGATGAGGATAATGTATGCATACATCTGCGCCACTGACATCGGTTTTCAGCCGTATCAACTAGGGTTTCCAACCACTGATTTCTCTTGTCCCGTGGACCTCAACTGGTTAGTCTGCATCGCCCCACACGACTCAAACTAAATCAAAGACTTCATAAAATGTATTTATTATTCATGATATAACTAATGATTGCTTCATTTAGGCTCTGCCGAGATAAGGAATGAGCAACAACTAAGATGCCACTTTTGTCAAAACAGTGAAAAGTAAAAGTGGCTCTAGGGGACGTAGAGTCTAAGCAGTTCATCACTTCAAGTAGTTGAAGAAACATTTAAAACGACTCATATGCGTAAATTGTTACTGAAAAGAAGATATATTCGAATTAGAGTTGTTATGGTCTAGATTACCCTAACGCGGAGATAAAAATACTTCCCAGCATACATTTGTAATCATTGACTTAACAGATTAGTTCTTTTGTATCTAGATAGTGCGAATTTGAAATACATTCACCAACCTTATGGACATTCGTGTAGTAGGCAACGATCCACAACTATTGTATGACAGCAAATGATACTACCTGACTGCCCAAACCTCGGTAGGTGGAGTGGTGTTCGAACCCGTTGCCCATTATTTGAAAGTCAACTACTTAAACGAATGGAGGCACAACTCCACATCTGGATAATACACTAATTTTGAATGTTTGTATCAAAGGTTATGAGTGAATATTACCGAATATACTTCGAGATGGAAGTAATTTATAAGCCTTGTATTGTATATCGAATAAGTAGGTGTCAATTTTTTGGTGTGGAGGGGCTAGGGTAGATAACAATCTCATGTAGTCAACAATATAATTCGTTTTTAAAAATGTTTTGGAGAAGAGAATAAAATTTTTCTTTAGAATCATAGACGACAAATTCATGCTCTTCATTGAAAACAAGGTGGAAAACACTAAACAACTTTAGAAAATCCACTTATCCAAGCGTATTTCGAATGTAGACACACACATACAATGCATTATCCACAGAATGTCATGTAACTTTGCTAAGAGAAAATAAAGTAAGTTCACTTCCCTACTACATGATAACTGACGACCTAACTTTTCTTACCAAACCGTCGGCCGTTACAATGTCGATAATTATTTCCACTTCAAAAACCTTTACTAGAGTACAGTACTTAGAAAGATAGGAATTTTCAAATTTATGTTTCGGTTAATTACTGAGAAAAACGGACCACAAGAACTATCCAAGTCGCCAGCCGCAAACAAGGGAACTAGTGATGCCTATCCTTCTTGTTTCATTTTTGAATAATTGATGAGTGAATATTCAGTCAGACGAAGAAGGAAGTTTGGGTAATATTTTTAACCTCTATGATCGTAGGTCTTCATTCCCGAAGAATATAGTGACGGAAGAGTATTTTGCAGTTCTTCCTGGCGAAATAAATGCTCTTTACGGACTTGCAAGGCAGATAACGCTCATGAAGACAACTAGTCATTCATAAAAGATCCTATACTATTTCATAAAGTAGGTACAAAGTTATCAGAAAAGGTGTTGTGAAATATGCTTATTCCCCCAGAAACTCTACTGTCAATTAATTAGTATTTTCAGTGCTCAGAATACTGTGTTTACAATGGGATTTATTTGGAGTCTATTTTGTGACTAGTAAAGAAATCCGGAACGCACATTTCCTCCTATTCGGGACTCGCCAGCTACAAGTACCTTAGTGAGTGAATGATGTCCTCACTGAGGCTCCGACCCAGTGCCCATCGCTTCAAACGCCAAAGCGTTATTCACTAGGCCACTGGAGCTTTGATGTTTGAAGCGACGAGTACTGGGTCCCAGTCTAAGTGGAAACAACATCACTCACTCGGGTGCAGGTACATCCACCTGACGAGTCCCAGATAGTAGGAAACGCACGGCTTGAATTCCACTGCTAACCATCAAATAGACTACAACATAATGAATATCCAGGCAGCATCGGGGCATCTACATAGGAGTTCATCTGCCAACAGGGGTCGAGTAATTCAACGCAGGGTGACAGGAGAAAACTACAAATTTCAACAAACGAGATTTATTTAGATTGCCTTATTAGTGACACAGTAGTTGGAGGAAGCCCTGTAGTGCTAGCAGGATTTGGATTAGGTTGCAAGAATTCTTAGAGTAACCACGACAAGTAGTAATACCAGTTTATAAAGTCTCTGACTGTTGTTTTGAGCCTTGTAGAAATGTAGACTACCTGGCTGAGGTACCCGAAAGTACAGGAATCAATGGTTGTAGACCCTTGATGAAATGGCTGAAAATCGGTGCGAATGGCGCAAATGTATTCCCTTTTTGGCGTCTTCTAATGCTCGAACTTTTCACTAACCTTAATTTTCAAGTTCTTTCTCCTCCCATAGATATTTTTTTACTTTCATATTAGTCTTTTATTTGCATGCTGCTATGGTTTGTGATCCCTTGACTCAATGCACTTCTGTGTGTTTCTACGTTGATCTTTTCTGTTTATCTGAAATCTTGACATAGATTGGTACAAAGCTAATGGAAGTTTTGGTACTTTTATTTTTCCTCTAAATCAGTCATACATTTCTAGTTCAATGATTTATTTTCTTACTATTTTGAGTTTCATCTATTTTTTTTATGAGCAACAGTTTTATTTAATTAATTTGATACGCTGAGATACCGTAAATTTATCAGCTTTCTCGCTTATTACTAAGTTTTGCGTTTTGGAGGATAATCATAAATCGAATGCAGTCAGTTAACTGCCAATTCCACCCTAGGCCATACGTATCACTCGGCCAAGCTATGATATATCGTATTTATATTCAACCTTCCAATCGACTATTACTCTAATCTCCCTGTACAAATACTGCCTTAATGAAAATTTATGTAAATAGATTGACTAATAAACGGATTATTAAAAACCGTTAATGGTGTAATAAGTGATCATATAGCGTCAGTGAGCTTCCAGTTCAAAGCAGTTATAAGTGAGGCAGTGGAATAACAATAACAAAGTATTTCCCAATCTACTTTTAATAGCCCGTACAGCACGACAGAGAACAGTTATGCTGAATACTTGATCCTTAAAAGAAAGTTCGATATATTACAGAAGTTACAAGTCTTCTAAAGATGCTCTTTATGCCTCTTTGACTTCTTTAAGTATACTAACATATCGACATCGAATGAACGGACACACTGTACAACTGTTGACGAAATTTGGTAGGTTCAGTTTACTCCCCTTTGCAAAATCACACAGTGAGAAAACAATTAAAAGGAGAAAGATAACTTAAGAAGCATAACAAAATATAAGTGAGTAGCATACAGGTAAGCGAACATTAATAAAGTGCCCAAAATTCGAAAAATATATATACTGTGAATACATCTATTCGAACGTGATATATTCCCCGGTTACATCATTTAAAGTCTTCAGTCTCTGATTCCTATAATTAAAAAGAATTCAATCACGAAGTTCTGATTAGTTAAATGGTTCAAAAGAGCATTAAGCAACCTAGAAAATAGCTTTTCAGTCCGTTCACTCTCGTTTTAAATCTAATCCTACTTTATGCAGGATTGCATA